ATACGGACGATCCGCTGGGCAAATGCTGCGTGATGAAGATGGATGGGATTTTTACGGCGTTATACATTTATTCAAATGTGATGGAACTTTTTTTTTTTTTTTTCCTTTGGAGCAATCACGACTATTTACCTTTAATCTTTATCGAAAGACTGAAAGTGAAAACAGGATCTGTCAGAGTGAATTTATTTTATTTTTTTTAAGATTCTGACGATCCTCATGTGCGCTCTGATTCATGGCACCGAGATGTCGGTGAATAACTGATGAAGGCGCATTTTTGCATTCAATTGGATCGGATTGGTACTGAAGAATATTTCACCTGAGTGAAAGGGCTTATGTTTCATGAATTACTGTTCCTGCAAAGACTTCCCATAAATTGCTGAAAACTGATTTGGCCTTGATTTACGCTGGCGTTCTCAATATTCTTGTGCAGGACTGGAAAACCAGAAACAAATACAAATATTGATGTCAATGCAACCACCTCAGAGTTGGCGTTGATCCCCCGCAGAATTTGCTTCGGCGCTTGAACGGTTGCGGTTCAAGCCATCGGGGGGGAACGACCCTTTTGCCAAAGCAAGAACTCGATTCATTTGAATATTTTCAGGGTTCGAACCTGCGCGGGAAGATCCCGTTGGATTTCGAGTCCAACGCCTTAACCTCTCGGCCATCGCAGCTGCCCGTTTGCTGACGTAGCTCCCGCTTTGGTGTTGTTAAGACAGTCGAGGCAAAAAAAAAAAAAAAAAAAAAGACCCTGTTCTTGAAATTCTAAAGGTTTCAAAAAGAGATGCAAGGCGCACATTTTTTTTTTTCTTTGCGGAACAGTTTTACGAATCAATACTTCATTTGGGGAGCAGCATTAAATTTTGTGGGGCAATTTTTTTTTTTTTTTTGGGGGGGGGGCCAATTTCATCTTCAATTAATTAATTTGCCTGCTATTTTGCTGTGCAAAGTCGGGTAGACTCCGCTGTTCCAGCCAGACATCTGGGAAAAGTGAACTCGATCACCCGATCACTTGATTGCCATGTCATTTTATAAATTAGCATAGCTTGTAGCTTATTTGCTGGTACAGGCCGGTCCGGCTTTGAGCGGAGGAGAGGCGGCGCTCCGAGCGAGAGAAAAAAATTTCAACATCGCTAGTCAATCTGGTGAACAGTGTTTTTTTTTTCCATTTAAAATCCATCTGCTTCATAATTTGTAACATAGTATGGGACTTTGGTTCTCACCCTATCATCACTGTATCATCCCTGTCTGATTCTCCCGGAGGATGCTCCCTGCTTCTCCCCCTTCTTAACGCCCCCCCCCACCCACACTCCCCGGTCCCTCGGGATTCTGGCCAGGAGTGGTGCTGAAAGACTGAACGTGGGAGATGGAAAGGTCTTTGCTTCCATTTCAGCGCTCCCGTCCCAGAGGTTGCGTCTGCCAGCTGCCGAGGCAAAAAAGCGGCTGCCCCCGTACAGATGCAGCTTTCCCATTACATTGACGCATGTCTTTGTTGATATGGCGGACATCTTTACACGAACCAGAAAATGCGTTATCTGATGGAAAGGGGGACCATTCCAGACCGACCCCGTAGCCAGTCGACCGCAAGCCCCCGAGCCAGGAACCGAGCACATGCGCTGGAAATAGGCCAGAAACGCGTTTAAAACTTGACGAAATCTGCCGGCGAGAGCAATGTTTAGCATTTTTGCTCGCTCGTACACAACCCAGATACAGCGTCGATTGAGACCCGACTTTTGGAACCTCTTTCTTACAAATCTTTGCGCTAACCCAGGGATAATTTTCTTCTCTTGAAGATTATCCCGAACCCTCCAACGTGGACTGTTCAAACGGTCGGTGATGAGCTAAGCAAAGATGCAACAGTTTAACAATGGAAGCAGATGTTTTGGATGAGATGGATTTGATTCTTTGAAAAGAAAAAAAAAAAAGCTCTTTGTGCCGGGAGCTCATCCATCTGCGGTGATCCGTGTTTCAGTACATCTTAATAACGTAATCCCCCCTCCCTCGTTTTTCTAACTCAAGGAATGCTCTTGTTCTTGCACCCTTCTACTTTGTCATTTGGGGGCACCCGCTCTTTGATTTGTTTAGCTTCTCTCATTGGAGGCTGACCGAGGCCATGACTCATCATTTCTCTGAATCGATAGAATCACCCCCCCAAATGTCTCAAATATGGCCTACAAAAAAAAAAAAAAAAACATTATTACAAGTCTTTCATCCTTCTTGCAGCCTTTTGAGGTTTCAACATATTTTGAACAGCCCCAAGTGCGTTTCGTCATGTCCATTTAGTGGTTTATTTTCTCACTCCTATCTATTCCTTTCACGGCAGGTAAAAGATTAGACGCTCGTTATCCAAATAAACCGACGGCGTACCTGGACCGGAATTTTCATCCATCTTGCTGGCCTCTCATTTATTCTCCGGCCATTTGTTTCTTTCTGACGTATCAGCAGACTTTCAAGCGCTGACCATGATGACTGAAGCCGTGGCCAAAGGTTCCAGCTCCTCCCTTTGAAAAGCTGACCCGTTCTTTAAATGTTTAAAGAGCTTATTGCATCATCAGTCCTCGCCCACACAGAGTGAGGGGGGGGGCTCGCCAGGGGTGGGAGTTGTCATACATCATGTGTTTAAGCAGTGGAGGGGAGGTGGAGGTTGTTCGGGGTTAATGACCGACTCTCTCTGTGGGCCGTGCCGGCGGCTCTCGGAGAGGATAAGACTGGCGGTGTCGGGGCATCTGGAGCGCCGGGGTCACATCGCTCACTTCAAAGGAAGGCCGGGAGTCTAGGTCAGTGTGTTTGGGCCGCGGGGCGCAGGAGAGAGCGGACGGAGGGGGGCTCGGGAGGGATTGAGAACAGGATCGTGAGGAGTAAAAGAGATGAAGAGGCCCGAGCGATGGCTGGAGACAGTCGGAAGACAAATCGGAGCGAGGCGGAGACGCGGCGAGGGTCACGGGATGGGGGAGGGGGAAGACGGATGGTCAAATCTCAGGCTTATTTGAGGGCTGCCGTACGCAAACGTCTTCGTGACGGTCAACAAATATTTCCCGGCTGGAAAGCGATCCGCCTTTTCACCGCGAAAACAATCGCTTGTATGTCACAGTAAGAAGGGTGAGACGTGTCGCCGTCATTCTCGATCCCTCGGGATATTTCAGCCAAAGCGTGCCACTAATATTTGTATTATTATTTTTTTTGGACACACCTCGGCGTCGTTTTTATTTAGTTCCATTGTGTTCCGTACTGAAGAACTGTTGGACACTCGTCCCCGAAAGAACAGACATCAGCAAGGATGTTGTGTTTTAAATTTATTGCAAGTTTTCTTTTATGTACATTTCTATTTACAACAATATCCTAACGTGTACTTGGATACATACCCATCTCTGCATAGTCATCTGCCGTCATCTATCGGAGTACGGCTGGAAAATCCTTTACAAAATCAAATTAAAAAAAAAAAAAAAGGGCTATAAAATAATGGAACAATCTGTATGCATGGACGGGCGGGCAAGGTGATTTACATAGTTGACAAATAAATACTATTGACAAATCACATTCTATCAACTACAAGTATGAAAAATAACCCTTTGTCCACATGTAAGGATACGTGGCGACACTAACTTTTAGCTTTTTTTTTTTTATTTTTTCTCACATACTGTATATCAAGTACGTTTCATAAAACTCCATTCCCTGTGGTATCCCGCTTGCGAGACCGTGTTCATTTTATTGTTCGAGAAGTGCCGGTTTCAGAATGCAATCCTTCACTCCATTTCACATCAAATGACGTTTTTATCGTGTTTTTGTGGCAGCGACTTGAGGTTTTTTTTTTTTGTTTTTTTTTTCTGAACCTGCAAAAGAAACCAGTAATTGTCTCAGCATAGCAACACTATTATCGGCATCGACAAATCTGCAAATATTCATCAAATTTCACGTGGGTTGTTGCCAAAAGGGAAACGTCAAAACATTTCAGATTTCATGTCGATATAACTCTTGATTGTTTTTGCAACGTGCTGAGATTTGAAGGCGAAGGATTTTAGTCCAATTACTCCAAAACAATTTTCTTCTTTTTTTTTTTTTTTTCTTTCAACACTGGAACATCGCATTTTGAATTTCAGCTTCATGACGTGAACCCAAGCAGGGTGGTCAAACACACAGACGCAGGGATGCAAGGCGGTCTCCGATTGCCCAAGTAACATTCACGGCCGACGACATCATCCCAAGGGGATAGCTTGCACTTTATATCATGCGTGCCAATGTCGTGCGACGAACCCAGCGAGTCTGCTTCTGTTTCTGTTTCTGCGGCGTCAAACATGGCGTGCTGTGCGCAGACCACCCTGATTGTGATGCAAATGAGGTATGCCGCTAGGAATGGATGGTAAAAGACTACTTCCATCCCGCATCGCTGCACATAGGCACAAAAACCTCGTGATGCCCGATTCTACCTGTGCAAAGTCCAGCGAAGTAACAAAAAAAAAAAGAAAACTGCGTCAACGCTCACAGTGAGACTGCGCTTTGCGCTCGGCGCGAAAATAGAACCCTTGGACTGAAATATAGTTGTGGCCCACACAAGTATTTGATGACGTTTTGACAACTCTCCCCATCCGTTCTCCATTCTTCTCTCATAGTCCACGAATGATTGAATGTGGCTGCAAATTGTTGTTTTTCCAACGGGCTTCGTAATTGACGACAGGTAGATGGACGGATGCAAGAGATAAACGAAACGTAGGCCCAAAACCCAAATCAGGTCACTTGAAAGTCCATCGTATGCTTCTGAACTTTGTTGGTGGCGACGATAACTTCAGAACCAGGGATCACGCGACACCAGAAGGGAAAAGTCCGTTTGACAAAATCGGGACATGAATCCAAATGGCCGTTTGTACAACGCACCTTTCAACCGGGCACCATCCCCTTGAGTCTTTTTTTTTTCTTCTTTTCTCTAGTTATGTCTTTTTTTGTGTGTGTGTGTGTGTGTGTGTGTGTGTGTGTGTGTGTGTGTGTGTGTGTGTGTGTGTGTGTGTGTGTGTGTGTGTGCAGTCTTTGTGTGCGTTCAAGCCACACATATCTCATGTTCATGCCACTTATAAGTGCGGAGGACGCAACTGCAAGTCTGCTGCCCGTTCGCCGACATCTCACTGGTGTCGCTGAAAGCATATGCAGTAAAAATATAAATATAAACGGATCTGAAGATTTTGTCTTCGACAACCCCGAAGAGCTCCCCTAGCTGTTGTCGTTCCACTCCGGCATGATGCTGACACTATGAACGGCGTGATACTGGTGAGGCGATAGCGTGCGCGGTATGCCATGCGTGTAGAGGTACTCGTTGCCCTGGAGGCCGGCGGTCGGCGACTGGATCCCTGCGCCGGGGCTGCACTGGCGACCCAGAGTCTGGTGCGTCACCGAGCTCTGGTACATGGCAGCGTGGTGACCGTCGGACAGCTGGGGCGAGGAGTGGCTCCCCACCCCGCCGAGTCTGGACACCAGAGAGCCGGACGTGAAGTGAGCCGAGAAGTGCTGATAGGGCAGTCGCTCCATGGGCTGCATGGTGGCCACCGAGCAGCTCCCGTAGGGCGAGACGCCAGCCCAGGTGTTGCAGCTGATGTCCTCCAAGCTGGGAACGGCCTCGGCACCTTGCGATGCGCCGCCGGCGTACATGCAGGCCTGCCGCTGGCTGGACTCGCTGCGGTAGGGCCCGGCGGCCAAGCCCAAGCTTTGCGCGTAGCCCACCGACCGGTAGTAATGGTCGTCCTCGCTGGAGGAGCTCTCCAAATAGGCTTTCTTGTAGCTGTGCTCGCCCGAGTGGCAGTCGTCCTCTGCTGCTGCTGGAATTGCAAAATAAATACAGAAAAATACAGTCAAGTCATGACCCAGTGACCTTTGGACTAAAATGATGTCTCATGGGACTCATAAGATTCAGGGCGGAGTGTATTGTCAGTCGGTAGAAAATCCCGTATTAGTTCTACGTCGTAATGTCATCTTATTCTGAAAATAAATAACATGTACTTCAGTTGCGGTGGCCAACCTTTCCTCTTGATGCAGTGGTACTCCTGGCCGTGCTCATGGGGGAGGGGATAGGAGCCCGACTGGGGCAGCAAGTCCTGCGAGGTACTCGTCACGCCGTTCTCGCACTGGGAGTACTGGGAGCTCAGGGTGCTCGGGGTGGCCAAACCTTGGACGTCCCCGCTGAACGGACTCTGGCTGGAGCTCACTCGTTGGCGCACCGTGCTGCGAGGGACCACCGGGTAATCCTTAGTGCTACGCGTGCACACGAAAAAAAAATGTTGAAAATGTAGAATGTGAGACTTTGAAGTAGAATGCTTTGAATCAGCATTCCTATATCACATGAAGCTTTTTCACAGGCTAACACAGCTAGCATCGACGCTACTGTTGCGCTGACCGTCACATTTGTGAAAACGATACTCACGGCCATATATTTTTAACCCTCTCTGTAAAATGATTATTATTATTATGATAGCAAGTTACTGATCTTCGAAGAGACCGTCTTCGTGTATTTGTTTTGTAAGTGTGATACTGCCCCCTGGTGTAAAAAGGACCACACACCAGGAGGAGCAGTGCAATGTCAATGGGCATTGAAACATGAAATCGGGGTGCACAAAAATGTGGAATTCTTTACGTCCGATTGACTCGTGTTAGTATTTTGTTCTCTTATGAAGAAACAGATGACAAAAAAAGTCTTTGTTTTTAGCTGGGCGGGAACATATTAATGGTATTTCCATGCATTTTGATTGGACGACTGGGCTGAAAATTGTTGAAATCCATCCTCTGAAGTCATGCCGCTCTTTTCTGCAGAGCCGGACTTGAATTTGGATCTTTTATTCTTGTGGCTTCTATTAAATGTTATGGGAAGAATGGCGAGTCGAATGGGGCGTATGTGAGGGGGCCCTTAAGTTACAATACCAGATTTTGTCCTTTGAAAATGTGTTTTGTGTGCACTCCATCCCTCATGTGGGGAGAGTAATACATACAGTATGTGCATGTTGACGTACGTTCCGAAACGTAAATGATGTGTACTATGTGCGTGTGCGCACATGCGCGGACGGAAAATGTCGTCTACGTTCAGGCGGGCGACGCTAATGCCACCGCTACTTAACACTCGCAACCGGCTCGTGCCGGATGTCTGTCACTGACACGGTCTAATTGCTTTGATTTGACACTTGCCATGCGAGGAAGCCATTCATTAATCAAAGCCGGCGTCAACACATCACTGGCCATAAAATTAGGTACACCCAAACTATTGAACATTGCTTCGTAACACGGAGCCAGTGAAGCTTTGGAGACAACATTTTGTGTTGACCTATTTTTTATGTTTTTTTTTTTTTTTTTTAATTTTTCCTAACATCAACTGTTTTTCTTGGAAATGCATTTGTGTTTGGCTTAAAAAAACATTTAGAATAGGCATTAATTATACACACATTTTTTACGATTTACACTTCACTGCACATAATCCGTACACAAAGAGTTTCACAACTAACTGACTCATGAGAATGCAGTACTAAAGGATAAAGATGCCTATGAATATTGTTCCAGTATTGTCTGTCGACCTGTGTTGCCACAACGTTAGTGTTCAGATATCTGCTTCTGAAAAGGGATGTAACGCCACAACATGATGCTCTTCATTACCCCGTCAATGGCATTTTGAATTGTTTGCTAGCATTAAGCTAAAGTGGCTTTATGAAGGCAAAGCTCTGGACTGCACCGTGAGCTTTGTGTTTTTTCTCAATAAACCGATGGGGAAACAATGCATCGGATAGTGCAGGTAATGTTGTGGCTTTTGCGCCAAGCCAACACCCACATACCTTTGCATTCTGGACATCCGGTGCAGTTCCATGTCATCACTTCCCCGAAAACCTTTCGCAAACGGATTGTTCTCAATCTTAAGCTGCGTTATCTAAAGAAAATAGGGAAAGAAGCCAGTTAAAGCTCTGCGATTTATGCTCACTTGAAGCACAATTTGGAATTTAATAAGTAACACGTCATATGATCACACAGAATTGGTGGAGATCATTTCCGAAACTACTAAAGTAGTTCTCAAGTCAAGCATGGGTTCTTCTTGAATGCTTTCCCTCGTCCTGATCAAACTGGAAGTTTGTCTGCACTCTGCAGATGGCTGCCAAGACAAACCTCATTCTGCTTGCACATGTCATTAAGCTGCTTATTTTGAAGGGACAGAAGGAAATTCACAGTAAACTACATACATATATTTATTTTTTTTCTCCTCCTTCTGTCTCTTCAAAATAAGCAGCTTAATGACATGTGCAAGCAGAAAGGGAGTCTTTGAGCACTTTTCATTAGCAGGTGGAGTGGACACATGGCGGCCTGCAGCACATTATTAACATTGTTCTTACTATTAGTGCTCTGGCAGATGTTGGCCTGTTTGGTTATTAGACAGTTGTGCTCAAGTGCCTGCCCTTCAGAATGCGTTTTTTTTTTTTTCAGGTCTGGAAAGCCCCAATAATTAGCCCTGGGGGTTACGATCTGAGCCCCCACCAATAGCAGGTTGGAGAATAATGAATGGTTTCTCCAGAACGCAGCTTCCTGCGCGTTCCCAGTAATAAGGAGGCTGCTGGTTGGCTGCAGAGACATTACGAGCCCCAAATCTGCTCTGCTTTTGCCCTCGCCGTTCCTTCGCCACCCCCCCCCCCTCAAAAAAAAAGTAAAAACATCGACGCCCACGTGTTTAAATGATCTTAAACAGACGCTGTTTACACACATTTCGTCTTTCTTGCACGTATTTGGGCAGGGCAGACACACGGTTTGCATGCCTGGCTGCACGCAAACCGACATGAAGAAACAAACGAACAGCACGCGAATTCGATCATTTCAAATGTGTGGTTATTTAAAATATTTTTCTTTCGAACACAAAAATAATGCACGAAAAACGACGTGTTTTTTTTTTCAACAGAATAACCATAGAAAGATCGCCCACTTGGGTTATTTTTGACCCTTGTTTTTCGAGTGCGGGATGTTATTCTTAGCAGTATTCTGTTCACGCATTTTTCTTTTATGAATGTCCGCATTTTCATTAAAACGAGAAACTCGATTTCAGAGTCATCTTTAAAAAAAAATAACCGCAACTTTGGGGGAAAGTATTTTATCTATTTAGGTACATATGTAATTATTTATTGATTTGTAACTGCAATATCAATAACGTTCGTTAACTTGTTGGTTTCGTGTGTTTTGTGACCTGCCAGTTACGAGCTACTCAAATTACGTCCGATAATCAACTTTTTTTTTAACAGCTTGAATCTTTTTTAAAAAAAAATACATTTGTCCTCATCTGTCACTGACTAGTCATCCTAAAAATATAAAAATAAATAAATTATGAAATAGTAACGTTCGAGGTGTTTTATTTTCTTCCCCCAAGTCTCTTTCTAAAAGTCGTTTGTCAGTGACTTTTCAAAGCGAATCTTAAGGAGGTGTAGTTTTAGACATTTGGGTAGATAAATATATATATATCCAATAGAATCCGCATGAATTGGATTCGAATTTAGTTCGGGCGGGGCAGCAGAGCCAGTGCGTGACCTTGTGGTTCTGGTAGGACGTGACGGCGATGAAGGCGGTCTCGGGGAAGACGTGCGTGCAGAATGCCGTGTTCTTGGACCCGAAGCCGTTGTTCTCGTCGGCCTTGACGATGTGGATCCTGGGCTGATACTTGTGCATCGAGTTCAGGATGATCTGGGTGGGGGGGAAAAAAACAAAAACACTTCTATAGACGCAATATAGAAAGAGACAAAATTTGATTGGCTGTTTCTTAGGGGGTGTGGGGGGGGGGTCCTGACATAAGAAACAAGATTCGCAAACGTTTGCGGCTTGCGTCTACTGCAATTTTTCTCATGACATATATTTAGGCTATTACATAAGGACAAGGCAAAAAAAAAAAATAATAAAAAATATGATATAAGATGAGGTGATCAAATCGGAATTCGAGCTCCATCCAGGCTGAGCCAGTAATGTGGGTCAGCGCCACAAGTTGGGAGTTGAGTCATGAAAAATGGATCGAAGATCAACCACGACATGCAAAACGGAATCAGAATTTGTCAAAGTTGTTTTAGAAGATGCAGATTGATTATGGAATGTTGAATTCCCTGTCATGCTGAAGCAAGACATTTTTTTGAGGAGGAAAAGCCCTTTAGAGAAAAACATTGTATCCCGATTGTAATATTTTTGTTATAATTAATTATGCAATCAGTAGAAGCCCAAATCAATCCAAGTTTGATCACAACATTCACAAACAGTGTTTGAGCTAAAAATCACCATAGAAAATATTTGAACGCACATTAATAATGGACATATTCATTAAAATATATATATTTTTACTCATAATTAAGTAAAAATTGGCGAAAGAAAATTCTGACATAATTAAAAAATGGATACGATCCACCTCACATATTGTGCAAATTGGTCTGAATTGCACTACAGTAAATGTAATCCGAATTGTCCGCTTTGACAAATGTTTCCAAAGACCCATCATCAATAAAAATGAATGCACGCAATATTGAAGACTGAAATTATTATTACATCCAAATCATGTGAAAATGTGCATCCCTTTTCCCATGCTCCAAAAATGATTTGGTTCCTGATTCAATACCCCAATAAAAAAATAAAAAAAACTTAGTCACATTCTTTTTCGCCATTTTTTGAGCAGAGTGGGGAGGGAAATCACCAAATTGGAATGGTTTTCACAGCTTGACATTCAGCATCATCAATAGCAGTTTGCAGGGGCGGTCCTAGCATGAATAGTGCCCCGCACAACCCCCACGTCGCTTCACCTTAACTCCGCCCCCATGGCAAATATCGGAATGAGCAGCGGCCTCAAAAAGTCCACATGGGTTGGGCCTTTTCCCGCTGACTGTTCAGACGGAAACTGAATTCAATCCAAATCTCTTCTCGCTGTTTGATATCGGATACGAATGAGCAAAAAAATGTTTGTATTACGAGTTTCACAAAATAAAACTGGTTTTCACATCTCATGCATTCACACTGAATCTTGAGATGAAAACCGAATCGAATCCAAATGTTTTGCAATCTGTCCATGTTTGAAAACGTGGCCGAACCATCAATTCAGTTTTGTGAGTGTTGCAAAATGAAAAGTGGTTCGCATGCGCACCAGATTGAATCCGGATCTGTTGTTTATTTGCGTTCGTGCCAAGACGAGAAAACACAATGTGCATTTTGCCCTGTGCTGCATGTTGTTTTTGAACTGATCCGAACCGGCCGTTCTGTCTCTATTCCGCCAAACCTGCTCTAAAACTTTCCTTATGTAACTCCAAAGTGATTTCCACCAGCACGCCGCTTCTAACGTGCGAAGTGACAACTCGCAGAGGGCCTGCGTGCGCGCACGCTTTGCCGTCCAATCGGCTTGAACTTGAACTTTCTTCCGCGCCGCCATTCATTCATTGGAATGCGCCACATAACGTCGACGGCCTTTGAGGAAACCTCTTTGATTTCTTCCCGGCAAATCTTTCGATTCAAGCGGAAAGACGAGCTTGCCCCGCCCCGCCAGTTGTTCAGTTTTTTTCCCCCTCCCCCTTCCACCTTTGGTATTCCGGCCTATCTGTTATCTGAAGGGTTGTTTTTGTACCTGCCTTTCACTGCCACACTGACCTCCGGCATGCCCCCACAAGGCTCTCTTTGGGGGCCGAGTGAACTGCGGAGGCCATAGAAGGATACAATAGTGCTCCATTATTAGTTTCCAGTTGAACTTGATCGCATTTCATGCTACAGTAGCTTTTGGCAAAGGCCTGAATCTGTACGGGACATTTTTGTGTCCGCGCCCTGCGTGCTGCATGAACGTGGTGAGTGACCCTGGCCACTAAACAGCAGTTGGGATTTCACTTTGGATGGATGGAGAGATGTGGATGCTTGGTCTCGGACCGTCGCATGTCCTGAAAGGCCGTCATTTGTACTGGCGCTCCCCCCGCGGTTTGGTGTTTTTAAGTTGATTGCCGTTTGATAATGCAGTACCAAAAAAACAAATTACAAATTTGGGTGGGAAGAAACATTTGTAATTTGCAGTTCCCCTTCCTCTCATTTTTTATTTTATTTTAATCATGAAAGAAAATCCATAAATATTTCAATCTGCAGGTATGACAAGATTTATTTAAAAAAATACAATTGATTAATTTTTTTCCATAAATTAAAAAAATATTTTTCAATATAAAAATACACAAAATTACATTTAGAAAATTTGAAAGTAAAAAAACTGCTTGCATTTATTTTATGGTTTGTGTTGCAGGTCATTGGAACACTCTAAATTCTCCCTATGTGTTAGTGTGAGCGTGAATGGTTGTTCATCTCTGTGTGCCCTGCGATTGGCTGGCAGCAACCAGTTCAGGGTGTCCCCCGCCCACTGCTCAAAGACGGCTGGGATAGGCTCCAGCACACCCCGCGACCCTTGTGAGGAGAATCGGATTTGAAAACGGACGGATGGTGTTTATCATAAATATTTAGCATCATTTTACTTGAACTCATAATCACATAAAATCACTCTCTCCATGCAAGCACATGTAAATTTCGCTGTCCAATGTAAACACTCGCTATGCCTTCTTCTTACTGTAGGGTAACAAAAAATATATATATATATTCCAACAGTAAATATAATATAATACAGTGTGGACAATGCTTGAGTTTGAGGTTACGTTTTATGTAGAAGTGCAGCATACATATTAAAATGCCAAAAATACCATCACTAACAAAGCACAAGAGGGGACCAGCCGTGTCCATGGTAAGAATAGATCGCGTAAGCGGGTCATCTGTTATGGCAAACCGTTTGAGCATTCAATGGCTGTATAGTGGCATCCAGATGTCAACTTGCGCAGTTTTGCCTCGCTGATAACATGTAGCTTTCCGACTTGTATACCAAAATTCTCCTACTCGTGTATACAACTATGGTCATGGAGATAAATCAGCAACTACTAAGTCATATTGACAGGAATATTCTTTATTATTATTATTGCGACATGTTTATGACAGTCCGCATATTGATCAAATCTATGCGAGCAATACGTATGCACAGTATTCCATTGCTCCCGGTTGCCCGTCCGCATCCGTCAGCGGGAGCAGTACAATGTCCATTCACTACAAAACCACCATCCCACTAATATGGATTTACGATGCTAAAAATGTCACTGCCTAAATGCACATTTTACCCCGGGAAAATAACACTGCCCACTAGCTGCGGCTTCCCGATATCCAGCCGGTGTGGAGGCGGTGGTCGGGGTGTTTTCCGTGGGACCACCCAGTGGGGTTCTAACTCGAGCTCAAGCCACTCCTAGCCCTGCCCCCCTCCTCTTCCCTGCCTCACGATGATAATAGTTAATGATAGTGAGTGATCACTTTTGGCCCTTCTCGCTTTCAAGTCCTGACCACATCAGAGAATCCCCACCCCCGCCCCCCACCACGTCCCAGCTCCAACCCCGGGATTAGAAAGGTTTGGCAGGGGCCGACGTTGCTATTGCTCTTTCCGCACTGCCACTCATATCTAAACACAGTTAAAGGCCTCCAAATCCTGTCCGAAATCTCCTGCGTGCCCCAAGCATGGTGAGACGAGTGCAGAAGACAATTTAAGGAACGGATACACCAGTGTTCAAAAAGAAGAATGCAAATACTGTATGCACACACTTCTGTTTCAATGACTTGTTTTGGGATGAACAGCTGAACTTTAATTCAGGTTTCCTCACAGGCACTTTGAATTGGTGGCCTGTGTGTTCAAACACCCACTTAACGTGGTATCTAATGTGGTTCATTATTCGTACAGGAGGAGGGTGTGCGCACTTGTGCAACTGCCTTATCTGAGTTTATATTTACTTTCCCACTTTTAGAAAGCCAATAAGTTATTTCCAGACTGGCCACGTTGACTGCAATGACAAACTGATGAAAGCAAACACTGATATTTCAAGATAGTCTCACGAATTAAAAAATATTGACATCAATAATTCAATAATTAAATGTCAATGTGCATGTTTGTGTATTTCCGTAGGAATACACGGGGAAAACTAAAAACCTTTGCCCTGGCCTTGCATCCAACCGATCAAATCTTTTCTCCTTGCAACTCAGCACTTGGGCGACTCATTGGCTTAAGACCTTAAGCTTCATTGTTTCCTTGCGGCGATCCAAATAATCCTCAATGGAGGCCCTGCGCTCGGTGCCGCTCGCCCTGTTGCAATTCCCGCCTCGGGCTCATCCTAATTGGTAGCTGCCAATTTATTCCATGCAGCTGCACCAACACAACCTGTGGAACCAAAGTTCTGGCCCGCGACCACGCGGCGAGTCATTTATGATTCCCACGGGCACTAAAGACAAAACCATAAGGCAGGCCAGCATGCATGCATGCATGCATACGCTGCAACCGATCCCCCCCAAAAAACAGTCCAACCAAAAATTTACAACAGCACTCACATTCCATCCAAGCTCGGGTTTCATTTGGCCAGCTGGGCCCTCCCGGCCTAACTAGGTGTGACTTGGATGCGTGGCAGCTCACTTGTATACGGAATGTCTATTATAGTGCTGCTCAAACTTTTTACACCGAGTACCACCTCCAAAAATGCTGTGCTCTCCCAATGCCAATTGCCAATATCATGACCAATATTAAAAATACAGTAGCACAGTAGGCCTAAGCGTTCATCAAAAGCAAAGCAGAGCTTTTATTTGTTTACAAAAAAAAAAAATATATATATATATATGTCTCTCGATGGCCAAAATGCAAACACAGGTTTTTGCGATTGGCGGATTTCATCTCGACAAGTAGCATTCTGCCAGAAAACAATTTTTGTAGTTGTCTCAAAGAAGTTAACTTTTCAGCGATCGGTATTTAACGTTGTTAGCCATTGTAGCATTCTACAAAGTTTAAACATTAACAGTTTGGATAAATAAAAAGAAAAGTGTGCTTCAATCATCATTCAATTAACCACAAAAAATAATTACAAACAGTTCCTAAATATTAAATGTGATTGTATTGTACTGTACTTAAGTTAAATACAACTGAACTGTACTTATGACCCCCCCCCCCAAAAAAAAATACTGTACTGTATTTTTAAAACAAGTTGATTCTATTATTTCTTCATTCCACTGTGTTTGGCTGTATTAAATGTTTTATATGTTGTAAATGTTATTTTTAACCCTTTCAGTGATTCTTGAGCATACCACTTATGTCCAGTCATTGTCTTATCATTTTTTTTCATTTGTCAATGACTACTTATTCCAAAAATGTACAATGAATGCACCATAAAAATGTGAACTTTTATAATGATTCAGTGAAAATGCACAGTACTTGACAAGTAAACAAAAAAAAATGCATTGTACATCGAAAATGTTTATTTTGTTCCGTGATTCTTTTGGGTACCCGCAATGGCCCGCCCATGAAAATTTGGTACTGGAAGAAACCTCACGATGCCATCCAAAGTTTTTTTTGCAACGTATCTCTTATGCTAATTGCGCGTTTTGGAACAACGTGTCCGTTTTGGCTCCTCCTGGTGATCAAATCTACGAGCGTGAGCTCATTCTGGCTTGACTACAAAGTCAATAGAAAGCATGCACCTATGATCCGACAGAGCTGCCTCGTTACTTTCATGACTGTGAGCTAATAGTTGCTACAAAACATCAACGGTGGATGGCAAACTGCAGCCAACAAGTCTCTTATTAGCATGGAGACGCATTGATGGAGTGTGTGTGTGTGTGTGTGTGTGTGTGTGTGTGTGTGTGCGCAGATGTTTAGGGGCGGGGTATTGTGAAATAATGAGTTTTGTAGGAAATGGCTAAGAGGCCCACTTTAGTTAAAAAAAAAAAAAAAAGGTTTCCTTTTTCTCATGCACGTGGACTTCCCATTTAAGGGCCGACATTTGGTGCACGAGAATTTCCTCAATTGCTAATTAGTTGAACATGGGAAAAGTGCGCATGACAAAAATGAAGTCATCTGTATTGAGAATGTGAATCAGGACTCAAAAATTTCCCTTTCAAAAGTTTCATTCGCCGTGGCTACATTGCAAACTGTTCACGCAACAGTGTTAAAAAAATGGGTGAACTCAACATTTCAAGGCAACGCAAACTTGGATCAAATTTCAAAGTTGTGCAATTCAAATAGTTTTGCTTTGTGCAAATTGGCTTTCCTGCATTTCACAACGAAGAAATAAAAGGGGATCATTTACATTTTAAAGTTGTTCCATCTTAAATTGATGTTTCAGCCCCCATATGACAGATTTGTTTTTTTTTAGCAGTGTTGGAAAAAGATTTGTTTTTAGCTGCTTTTTTTTTTCAAGCAGAAACGCATCACGTCCGTAAAATCATTCTGCCATACATTTTAGATATTTCAAATGAAAGTCAGTCTTTTGTTGAGAAAGTGAAATACTGCGAATATAAACACGGTCAATGTAGTTAGATTTTTTTTTATCATTAAGTGTCTGGTGGTATAGGAAGCCATGAAGAAAAATTTGCAATGCAAATCCAGCAACGACCCCCCCCCCCGAAAAAAAAAAGAGTTGTGAAGTGTGTGTTGCCTATATAAGCAAGGTTTGAAAATATACTGCACTTTCCCATTTCAAAAATGCAAGTATCTTCCTTGAGCAATATTTTATATCTCGCGCCATATCTCCGTGCTGTTAAAAAAAAAAAAAAAAAAAAAAACTTCTTTAATGCCACATTGTATTTTGGGTTCTTTTGCGGTTGTTAGAAATCGTATTCATGGCAAGTTTTAGCTTCAATTTAGAATTGCACGCTAGCATCACAATTCCATTTTATAACTTTGTATACAGTTTTTTTTCTATTTGGGGAAAATCTGAGACCTCGGATATGCATTTTTGTGCCATCACGTATCAATGTGAGCTGGTTTGAAAATCTTCCCAGAGGCATGAATCTTGGTCAGCATTTTGAAAAGTGCCCTCTGAGCAACATTGCGCAGGCGCAGAGATTTAGGAGACAGGCCTAGGCACCTACGTGTCCGAACGGGTCCAGGTGGTTGTTGGTCAGCTTGAGTTTCTGGAACGAGACCAGCTGCCGCATCCAGTGGGCACCCGTGGCCGGAGAGTCCGGGTGCACGTACAGCCTCCCGGGCATGGCGGGCTCGGCCTTGCCGGTCACCGACCTGGAGGGTCGCGCACGCAGTTACGCGGATCGTTATTGCATAAGTAAGAGAAAAAAAATGATCCATCGAATAAGAGTCCTAAACTGAGATTTAAAAGCAGCCATGCACGCGCAATTACGCGTGACACGCAAAGGCAAAACAACGCCGGTGGATCGAGAGTTCGCCAAGTAAGAAAACACAAATGAATATTATTTTATAGTGTAGCCAGATTGTTAGACCAAGAAACCGTGAGAATAAGAAGAATAATAACAAAAACGATAAAGAAACAAATAAATAAATTTGTTTTGCATGTGTTTTGGCCACAATATTGACAGGCGTTCTGTTGTTTTTTTTAAAGGGCGTCCACTAACCCAACACGACGGAAGTTTAGAAACTGCTGTAGAAAATTTTATGAGTCCCCTAGAAACGTCCTTATTTGTTTTTTTCTAAAAGCAAAACAAAACAAAACAATTGTTCCAACTTGGATAGCATTAAAATATTCTTATTGTTTAAATAAAAATAAGGACATTTAAAGTTAACCCTGGCATTTTAAATGGCAGTGTGTGTGTGTTTGTATATATTTAAGCGTCATGTCAAAATCGACGAACATGTTTTCTGAAGACGTATAACATAACTTTCGCACAGTTTGTCCTAATTTTATATATATATCTATATATATTTGTTTTTATTTTTATTTTTTAACTTCACATACCATTTATTATCAGCAAACTTATATCGATGATCATCTGCGGGCACGACATCCATCAGCAGGATATATTTCGTTTTGGGGTTCAGGCCGGTGACTTTCACTTTAAAGCTGGGGAACATTCGCCTACAAAGGTGCAAAAAAAAAAAAATAATCATTTATGTCCCTAAATATTTCACTGCCAAAACTTCGCAACGTGAATGAACACCACATCGCACCAACGTGTTCGTTAAGGATAAAAAGGGCTTGTGAGTAACGGTTCAGTCTCACCGATACAAAATGTGTCATCATCATCATCATCATCACCACCATCGTCACCATCAACACACACCTTCCGCAAGTTCCTTTGAAAGTTTTAAAATGCAACAACACTGTCACGTGTACAAAATGCGCTCCACAAAGACGACGTTCCACGTGAGATTATTTTAAATGAATACAAACTGTACATTATCGATATTCCTGGTCGCTACTTTTCTGGATCGCGTGTTCATATACACACACACACACACACACACACACACACACACACACACACACACACACACACACACACAAAAATACACATTGTCGTTCCGATGCGCGGGGTTCTAGTTAGCACCAGAGGTGTTTCTAATATTTTGCCCTCCCGTGTGACGCATGTGCTGCAATCGCTGTGACGACGCACCAGATAAAAAGCAATCGATTCGGGGGTTCCTAATAAAGTGGCCCGTGAGTGCGTGGGTCATCTCACCTGCCGGCTTTAGTGATGATCATCTCGGTGCCCACCTCGTGGAACTTCACCCACAGTTCCCTCTCGTGCAGGTACACTTTTATGCCCTCCATACCCTGCAGCAAAAGAAAAACAAAACAAAACAAAACAAAAAAAGAAACATATTTGGCGTGCTTTATTCGGCGAGGGGCAGGGGTACTTGTGAAATGAAAAAGTCAATACAGTCTTTCCTGAGATAAGTTATTGTACTTATGTCAGTTTTTTTTTTAAAAACAAGTTCAATAGATTTTTTTTCAATATATAGCGCTGTGGGGGTGGGGGGGGGATGAAGAAACTTAAAGTATCAGTTTCTCCGATTTTGCTTTTTATTAGCAGATACAATTGTTCGTTTTAAACAACTGATAATAACTCCTACATTTCCAATATTGCCATTTAAAGTATTTATTTGCAGAAATAAAATTAGTGGTCAAAATACTCATAGTTTTTTGGGGGATATATATATATATAAATTAATTTTACATTTGACCCGATAGAGTAGTGCTGCATAACTGACCTGCTGGATGTAGGTGGTTTGCGAGGACGGCGACTTGCCGGACGTCCCGTTGGGCTTCTCGGCTTTGGCCTCGCTCGGAACCTCCCTCGAATCGGACCCAGCGCCGGGAGAGGCTTGCAAGGCGAAAGTCTCTTCTGGGTCGGCCATGACTGGATCTCAGGACTGCAAGAGCCCACCACATAACAAAAAATAAAGACATCAACTGAGGAGCACCCTTTTGGACTTTTCCAAAGTACGAACATCTTTCAAAAGTTGATGAAAACATGTAGCAAGTTATGGAATTTAACCTACAAAACGAAGTAGCTGTTGACGTGTGGCACGTAACGGTCCACACGTGACATCTGCGGAGTCTTTTTTAGCTCAACATGTTTTTACGTTTCGCGGGCAGATTTGTGGTATCGCGATCTTAAAAATGAACAACTGTAGAATTATTTCCACAGAACACACCGAGAAGATGACGCTGTACTGATCTGGTTTATCTTACCCCAACCAAAGAGAAAGAGGGGGGGTGTTCGGGATAGAAAAACAAAAAGAAAACAGGACGACGGTTCCGAGAGTAGTTTTTTCTTCCTCAAACAAACAAATTCAAATAATCCATCCGAGGCTCGGTATCTCCACGGATTCCTCTTTTGTTCGCATAGATACGGAGCTCCTGACAGACAGCGACTCCCGGCGCAGTTCGTGTCCGGCGACGGGGCTTGGCGGCTCGGCGTCGGCTACCAGGAGCAACCCGGCGGCGGTGCCTGGAAGCGGCGGAGGTGCTGACGACTCATTTTAGGGCTGGCGGCGCTCGAGTGAGCCGCGGCGGCTGCTTGCGTCGAGCATTGGCTGTGTTGGGCTTCGGTCCCCGGAGAGCAGGTCGGCCACCTCCTTCTTTTCTCTACTCTGTGTCACTTGACCTTCTCCTCCTCCCCTCTCTCTCTCTCTCTCTCTCTCTCTCTCTCTCTCTCTCTCTCTCTCTCTCTCTCTCTCTCTCCCCCCCACCTAAATATCCAATGAGCATCAATGGGCAAGCGTGCGAAGCGGAAGTTGCATCTACTTGTGGGGAGGGTTCAAAAAAGGATGGGGGGGCGACTGGGTAGGGTATGAGGGTGCGAGGATGGATAGATAGGGAGGTAGATAGATAGATACATTTCCTCAAATCTTGTCTCCGCTGAAAAACATCCAGTGGGCCAGTTAATCGTCGTCCCCTTGGAGGAAATGAAGGCACAAACTCAACTTGCTCGTTTAAAATGTGGAGCCGTACCCCTCATAAAAAAAACACTGAATGGATGGATACCATATTTCCGCAAGTAGTGGAAATGAAATAAATGCAGCGTGCCAGTTGGTTATGGTCTCACATTCCGAATAAAAGCCCCACCACAAATTGACAATTAGATGAATTCAAAATGTATTAGGACCCAAATGAATGCCTGACTGCTATTAAATGCTGGCGGATAGATTATCAATACCAGTACCGTATTTCCTGAAATGGTGGCCATCATTGAAATTGATGGAGTGCACACTAAATACCTCATTTAAAATGTATGTGTACCACTTATAACAATGACTTTGTGATGGGCAAATAAAGAACATGACGTGCGCCAATTAATTATACACTTGGGCAAATAAATGCCTTGCCTTAAATAGACTATACCTGTAGTTGACTTTTTCAAGCTGCACCTCCGTGACCTCTGCAGAGAAAGTTGCAGTGCGCTCAATAATCGTCTTGCAAAAAAAAAAAAAAAGCCCCGCCTCATCTTGACTAATAACACATTGAAGATGTATTTGGACCATGATAAACGCCTCACCCCCACACTCTATTACGGACACTATCTTCCAGTCCAATGACACTATAATTTACTAATACTGTATATTTATTCGCAGCATGTGTGGGTTTTCATTTTTGATATTCAAGTCTACCTACTGTTATGGTCAGTGACACACACACACTCACCTAACATTTTGAACCCTTGGCCGGATGTCATGCGGGCACTGCACACCCACAAATTGGCGCCAAATTGGACCCGTTTTTTTTTTTTTTTTTTGTACATGCAGACTTAACTACATTTTCTATGTAAGGTGGTTAAAAGGCCTTAGACCGGTTCTAAATTGAAATTCCGGGCGCCTTTTAACTGTGTTAAATCGCGCCAGCGTGCTGAAGTATACTTCCAGGAATCCGTGTGCCTTGTGTGTGTGTGTGTGTGTGTGTGTGTGTGTGTGTGTGTGTGTGTGTGTGTGGGTGTGAGTTTATGTGTGCGCGTGCGCACGTGTCTTGCATCCACATCCAAAAAATGGTGACATCACTTTTTTTTTACAACTTGATCCTAAAAAACATCCCAATGACTCCACTTCCATTTTAAAAAGCAAATGAAGGAAAAACTTTAAAACTGCCTCCCCCCCCACACACACGCACAAACACCGTTTCCACACCATTAATAAATTTGATTTCAAAAGTTCTTTGAAAAATGGTGTCTAATTTAACAGTCTTGCAAGTGGTTGTGCTTGATGTGATAGCTTGAGTCATGATCCACTCAACATTCCCTTACTGTACGAAGGATTTTTTGTAATAGTTCAATATTTCGGTTGCATGCTTCTTAAGTTTTAGCAAAAAAAAAATGGTTGCCTTAAAAAGCAGACGTTCAATACCACCGGCAGTTAGTGCGCAATTCAGATTGTCCCGTGTTGTTCTGAACGCGCAATTTTGTGCAAAAAAAATATTTGAGTGTACGCAAATTCATTCCTGATCCAAATTTTCTTTATTTAGGGGGGTGGGGGGGGGGTTGGTATACCGCGACGTGATGTGTTGTAATACGTCCAAAAAGTTTTATTTTGTAGTGTGTGCGAAAGGCACCGAAACAAGCATCAAACAATTACGAACTCGTTCCACTAAAACGTGTTGCAACAGTTGTTAGTTGACTTTTTTTGGGTCAGAAAAAAAATACAGTGTAATACAGTAAACTTCAAGTAGCCCATCCAAATGCAAACTTTTTCTTTCGCAATTCAGTAAGTCTGACGCCAATGCAGTCATTCTAAGAGCACAACTTTGCAGCACAAATCTTATTCATTCCCCAAAATATTCATGAATAAACAGGAATTGTTGTCATGTTAACGATGTCAGTCTTTGTTTACCTTTCGTTTGAAAATCCACATGAAAATGAAAAAAAGAAATCCCTGCACGTTTAGTATGAATTAAATAATCGAATTCAGCGTAGTTTGTGTTATTTTTAGCCATTTAACAGCGCAGTTCCACGTCACGTGACACGTGGGCGCGCAACTCTCAGTCCGCACGCACGCGCTCACATTTAGGATATCTCAATGAAAAAAAAAAAATAGTGGAGGTTAAGCCCAAAAAGCATTTGGCCAAAATCATCTTACCTCAAACGCATTTGATACAAATTCACATCACGTCCCTACATTCAAAAAATGACCTGGAAATGAAAAAAAAAAAAAACGTGCGAAGCTTTTTGGAGTTTGTGCACGCACCTTCAAGTGCACAAAACCTTCCTCGTTCTCAGTCAATGTCACAATAACGCACAATCTGTGTGAACGACCGCTGCAGGCGAATAATTAGCATTCGGTCCAAAATTGAAGAAAAAAAAAATCGAACGCACCTCAGGAAAGGGCCAACACGTGCTGCATGCTGACCTCTCACTGCAAGCGTTACATTTCACAAGTTCATGAAAGCAATAATTAATCCACATATAAAGTACGACGTGTCATTAACACGTCAGTGATCTTGTGGTTTAAATGCAACACACACACTAAAAAAACAAACAAACCGCATTTACTAACCAGTATAAAAAAATGGATATAATATGATGTGACTGTATTACAAAAATTGGCTTCGCTGTTCTTTTTTTTTTTTTTCTTATTTAAATGCCACACACGCGCGCGCTCACGTGTGCACATTGGGTGTGAAATAGGTGCTCCTTACCTCCTTGGTTGTGCTCTGACGTGTGTCTACAGGCAGCTTGGAGGAACTTTTTGGCTCGGGGAGGTGGGGGGGGGGCGCCCGGCC